AGTGAGTGAGTGAGTGAGTGCGACCTGGACGTGGAGTGGCTTGTAGTGCTCATTGGTCTTGCAAATGTTGATGACGGTGCGAACGCACCTCCGAGGAATCAGCAGCTCCTTGCTAATTGTGCGTGTGCTTTGCACGCTACTTCTGGACGACGCGGCACCGGAGGTCATGGGAGTATTCCTTACAGATACTTGTCATGGGTTTGTGAGCTGGTAAAAGTGAAAGTGAGATTCAAGCAGACCCGCTGTCGGGGTGGTGTCCGTGATGAATCCATTTGCTATGTGCATGGCCTGGTAGTGACAATGTGTTTGAGCAATATTCGTTCAAGATCCCATACTAAATAGTACAAGTGGGGGCTGACTGTTTTTGCATCCACTTTTGAACAAACGCTGATTGATGGAATCTTAATTACAACAGCCAATGAGAGCCTAGCGAGCCCAACCGGGTAAATTGCAGCGAATCCGATTATACTTTTTGGGGAATCATCGGGCCAACTTTGATTTCACTATTGCATACTGAAGCATTGTCAGGTCAAACTTTGCGGTTGAAGGATCATGTTTCGTAAACCTGCACTCAACCGATCTTCAACAGTTCCCGCGCGCAGCTACGATCGTTCATAACTACAAACGCGATGGCAGCAGAAGAACCCGAACCGGAGCCACCAGCTTCATCGCAAGAGAGTGAGACCACTGGGAATACGCTCTATCGTATGAAGAAACCTCATCGCCCTGAAATCTGGCACGTAGCATGCTAAGTGGCGGATCCATCGTCGAAAACTAAACGCTCACCGAGTATGGCAGTAGTAGCTACTGCATGAGCTCATTGCATGCATACAAACTCAAAGAATATGTTCAGGGTACTGTTTCGAGAGCACAACATATCAATTCATAACGTTTACGTTGAATCCATCTGTTGCCAACAGCGTTGACACCCCTATTCATGATCACGTTGGAGGTCTGCGGAGTCTCATCTGCCACACGAGCTGCTGCAGCATTGAGCGCGTCGAGTGTCATGTCTTGGAGGACGATGCCTGTGTTCAGGGAAGAGTCGATCCTTTCGTCGAATGTTTCAGGTGGGTCAGACACTTAAAGGACTTGAGCCATTCGACAGTGACCCCGGAGACGGACGTCTTGATGATCACCTTGACCTTGTAGACTTGACATCTCAAATGCCGTTCCTCCGTGCGGAAGTGAGGGCGGCTCAGGAACTCGGCAGATGATGGCAATGAGATGAAGTTAGTTTAGAGCTAACTAATTAGTCTACTTGACATGAAGGCACCACAAGGGCGCACAAGCAGCTTGCAGTTGAGCTTGAGCTTGAAGTCGAAGAATTTCGTTTCATGATTGAGCTTGAGAGATTGTAATTGACCGTTTACGCCTTGGTGTAGGATATGAAGGTGCTCAGCATGCTGGGGTACGGTAGATACCTGAATGCCTTGACAATGTCATGCCAGTGCACAAAAACGCGCGGGTAATTTTTTCTTGTCATGCACGGTACTTTGGTACCACTTTCAACTAGGTACGAATATTAGCAGCTTGTATACTGTAGCCATTCCAGCCCAGCCAACCAACGGCTTGCCGATAATGCAGCAAGCGGAGGACGTGGCCATGGAGGCTGCGGTGCCAGCGCAGGGCGAGTCGGATGTGCCGACGGCACTTATCGAGGAGATGCCTTTCACCGAAGAGGAGCTCGCTACTACATACAAGGTGCTGGAGGTACTGGCCAAGCGAAAGGAGCTGCTGGAGCAGCGCAACATGCGTGACATGCGCAAGAAGCTGGCGCCCGTGTCCGAGTACATGGAAGGCCGAAAGTTCGGTGGTGTAGGCCGCAAGAAATACCTGGAAGACAAGGCCATTCGTGAGGAGAAGCGTGCGCGTCACAACCAACGCAAGATGCACGACCGCCGCCACATCAACAGCTCGACGCTGCGTCGCGAGCGCATCGCCAAGCTCGAGTCACTCCTGCAGCAAGGAAAGGACGAGGCCAATGCCTTACCCATGATTGCAGATGGTGTGGCTGGTGAGGATGTATGTCACTCCACAAAGTCTTTGACGAACGGCCCCGAGCCGGAGCTGCAGAAGCTCTGCACGGACGATGAGCAGCATGCTCTCGACGAGAAGGCAGCGGCCGACAAGAAGGAAGCCAGTGCGCTGCTGGGATTCCGCTCGTGCTATACGTGCAAGAGTCGATTCGACAAGATCCACCACTTCTACGATCAATTGTGCCCACGTTGTGCGGACCTTAACTTCTCAAAGCGCTTCCAGACTGCGGATCTGCGTGGCAAGGTGGCTCTCATCACTGGCGCCCGTGTGAAGATTGGGTTCCAGGCTGCTGTAAAGTTGTTGCTGGCGGGAGCGGCAGTCATCGCTACTACGCGCTTCCCTAAGGACGCAGCCGAACGCTTTGCAAAGCACCCCGAGTACGAGACCTTCAAGGACCGTCTTCAAATTTTCGGTATTGACTTCCGTGACTTGGTACACTTGGAGCAGTTTTGCGACTTCGTAATCAGCCGTTACTCTCGTCTGGATATGATCGTGCACAATGCATGCCAGACTGTGCGCCGCCCACCGACGTACTACAAGCCGCTCGTGGATAAGGAGACAAAGGCTCTTGAGGCGAGTACCAAGGACGTTCAAATGCTGATGAACCACCAGCAGGAGTTTGAGTCGCATGTCAAATCACTGGCTCTGCCTGCGTCGGATGCCAAAAAGTCTGTCAACGCAGGTGGCAACGTTGTTATGTCCTCTGCGTTGAAGTCACAGGTGCCAATGATTGCTGGTGAAGACCACCCTGACGATCACGCCGAGGCATTCCCCGAGGGAATGGTGGACGTGAACGGACAGCAGGTGGATCTCCGCTCGCACAACTCGTGGCTGTTGCGTATGGGCGAGGTCGCCACCCCCGAAGTGGCGGAGGTATTCGCTATCAACACCCTGGCACCGTTCATCATGAACAACCGCCTGGTGCCGCTGCTGGAGAAGAGCGGCAAGAGCGAAAAGAAGTTCATTGTGAACGTGAGTGCCATGGAGGGCAAGTTCTATCGCTACAAAACGCCGAACCACCCGCACACGAACATGGCCAAAGCTGCTCTTAACATGATGACGCGTACCTGCGCCGAAGATTTGAGCAAGCGGAGCATTTACATGACCAGCGTTGATACTGGTTGGATCAACGACGAGAATCCGCTGGCGAAGGCCCACGCTCACGCGCAGGCACACAATTTCCAGACGCCTATCGACGAGATCGATGCCGCCGCTCGCGTGCTGGACCCCATTTTCGTCGGCTACACGTCGGACAAGCCGGTCTTCGGCAAGTTCCTCAAGGACTTTCACGAGACCGAGTGGTAGACGAGCTCTTAAGCGCAGAGTACATAGATACATTCACATTCCACGTCAAGCAACGTCATCGCTTTTTGTGTTGAAGTTTGCCTTCTTGCTGTGCTCTGATTGGTCGAAAGGTTGAATGTAAAAAGTCACATTCAGATCCCGCCTTGAGCCGCTTTCTGTCAGTATCAAATCTGCCGACAAGTGCACAAGACGAAGAGGAAAAGATGAAGGTGGACACGCGTGTAGACAACAAGAAGTACGGGCTTGCGGGTGGTAGTAAGGTGTGGTGTGCTGTGCACCCAGTGCTGCGTCACAAACTCACCAAGCTACGCGACGAACGCACCGACAGTCGTGTCTTCCGGCACCTGCTGCGCGAAGTTACTTTCTACTTGGGGTGAGGGCTAGTGACTAAGACTAAGACTGGGAGAAGCGCTCTAACGGTACCGTGGTGGATGATGCAGATACGACGCGACGGATGATTTAGAAACGGTCCCCAAGAAGATCAAGACCCCCAAGGGAGACCACAAGGGCGCCGAACTGTCGACGTCGGTGGCGCTTGTACCGATCCTACGTGCGGGGCTGGGAATGGTACGGTGGTGGCTGAAGAGCTGTTTTCTATTAGTGGGGGGGCGTAGCTAATAAGCTGTGGTATTACAGGTCGAACCGATGCTCGATCTCCTACCGAACGCCTCAGTTCACCACCTCGGTGAGTCTTGACCCCCCCCCCCCCCCTTATGGTGGAACATGCTGAGATTAATGATACGACACTATTTGCAGGGATGTACCGCAACAAGCAATCACTTCTGCCGGTGCAGTACTACAACAAGCTTCC